GGGCTAAAATCAAGGTATGATAGACTGCATTTCTTTCTGACGGCCCTGGGGGAGAACCTGCTTTCTTGCCCTTTACAGCTTCTAGAGGCTACCTCTATCCCCTCGATCATGGGCTTCTCCCTCCATCTTCAAAGCCAGTCATGGCAGAGCTGCCCCTTCTCATGTCATGTACTTGTACCTTCTTTTCTGCTGCTCTCTTACCCTTATAATAAGCCTTGTGATTACATCGAGTCCACCTAGATAATCCAGGTTAACCTCTGTATCTCAACGTTTTTAACTTACCCACATCTGCAAAGTCCCTTTTGCCACATCAAGTAACATACATATTCATAGGTTCCAGGAATTAAGATGTGGTCCTCTCGGGGGTGGGGGGATTATTTTGTCTACCACAATACCTTTTCCTGACAAAACAGAAAACCATCTTGTGCTTTCTGTTCTTTGTACTTCACATAATGTTGAAGCCTTATCCAAACTTTATACTGTGTGATATAAATATATATTATAATAATCTTTGATTTCTTAAAGTTTAAAATATGGCAGTATATTAGTCTGTTTATGTTGCTTAGAACAAAATACCTGGAACTGGGTGATTTATAAAGAAAATGAAATTTATTGCTTACGGTTTCGGAGGCTGGGAAGTCTAAAGTCCATCTGGTGATGGTGACAGTGACCCAGGGGTCTCACACCGCAAGATGGTGGAAGCAGAGAGAGCAAGAAAGACAGACTCTCCTTTTCTTTTAAAGCCCTCAAAACCACACCCTTGAGCACCATTTTTAATCCATTCACTATGGCATCATCCTACAATCCAATCACCTCTTCAAGGCTCCACCTTTCAATTACCATAATAGGATTTCCCACCCTCTTAACAGTCATGGTGGGTGCTAAGTTTCTAATACATAAAACTTGGAGGACACAATTCAAGTTTCAGGCAGTTTTGGGGGACATGATTCAATCCACTATAGGCAGTGATTATCACCAAAGCATATGCTGACTGATTCTTAAAAATATCTCAATTCTACCATTCAACAAAAATAAAACTTAGCAAACAGACATATTTAAATTTAAGTGGAAAACTACTTATCCTTAAAATAGGGAGAGGATATAACTGTGTGTTTATTTGCTTTAGGAAATATGCATTTCTTTTTTTTTTTTTTTAAAGATGACCCGTAAGGGGATCTTAACCCTTGACTTGGTGTTGTCAACACCATGCTCACCCAGTGAGCAACTGGCCATCCCTATATGGGATCCGAACCCGTGGCCTTGGTGTTATCAGCACCGCACTCTCCCGAGTGAGCCACAGGCCGGCCCGGGAAATATGCATTTCATTGTAAGTAGTAAAGACTGAAAAATTAAACTTTAGTATAGCATTTCACCTTTTAAATTTCATTGCCAAAATAATAACATGTCTAATCATAGACCAATTCCTTTTCCTCTTCTCTGACTTTGGCTTGACACAAAGGATATTTTTTTCTTTGTGTGACCAAAGCAGTAACTATCTTTGACAGAGCTGTGAGGTTTTTTAAATTGAGGTTTGTGAAGAGAAGTCCTTTATAAGAGGGAGTGTCATAATTCCTTTGCAACATGCTCATTTCAAATGGACATATGTCATACTGGTAAAAAGTATTGCAACGATGCCATAAATGGAAATAGGAATGTGAGTGGGCAAGTGGTAAGGAATTAGAGATTCTTTTTTTCATGCAAACATTACTAAGGATTCTGACTTTACATGGAAAAGTGCATTACCAAGGAATTATGTGGAGTCCATTTTTTCTCAGTAAAATTTCTAGGAAACAATTCATAATCCTGAGAAATATTGTATCAGAAATAAAAATGATTATGTTATAGAGCAGACATCAGCAAATTTTCTCACTAAAAAAAATGATAATGGCCTTTGGTAAAATAAGCTCTTAGAAAGATAAACAAAACACATTCATTTTATTCTAACTAAACAGTAATACTCCACCCCCCACCCCCCACCAAGAAGGGGAAAGAAGGACACAGACACTTTGCATTCCTGCTTGCGACAAGAGCCAACCCAAACTCTTTCCATGCAATTTCTTAATGACACAAGGGAAATGGCTAAAACCACAGTGAAAATAGAAAATGCCTTTAAAAGTTTCTATTATAAACTTTTCACCTCATGGAGAAACAGGACAAAGCAAATCGGACAACAGTGTGACCCATGGCTTCCTTGGCTTATGTTTGTTTCTTTCTCTAATCTCCTGCTCTTGGTTCATCGCTCTATTATTTGTCCTGGTTGCTTAACAGATGCTGTATAAAATATATGTAGCATGGGTTATTTCCACTAGCCCTTTAGTTCCAGCTAAGCTATGTTACAGAAGTAGGCAGGATGAGCTGGTTGGGTGATAGGGTTGTCTACTATATGAAAAGGGAAAAGACTACATTGCTTTTGGTTTTTATCATTAATTTTCCAAGCACAATTTCAACACATCCATTGTAATCTAGTTAGATAATCAATGTTATCTTATATAGAGTGGATTTAATGTATTATACATAACATGTCTATAATTAGAGAAATACTTATGATTTTTTTTTTCTCTTCTGGACTAAGTATTTATTGTTAATGTCTCATGACTTAACTTTTTATGGTCTATTTATTGTTTATACTGTATTGTTTCCCAAATACAGTATGCACATTCTTGACTTTCTGCACACATAGTTCATGCTTCCTGAAATGTCCTTTTGCCTCCTCTCCAGGAAGCCACGTCCTACTCATCCTTCAAAACCCAGCTTGCCTTTTACTTATGTTGTGAAATCTTGCTTAGCATGCAGTCTATGGTCATGTCTCCATTCACTGCACTCATATAGAACCTATCATTGGGCCGGCCCGGTGGCTCACTGCTACAGAGTGGTGCACTGCTATAGTGCGCCGCTTGGGAAGCGTGGCGGCGCTCCCGCCAAGGGTTCGGATCCCACATACAGACCGGTTCCCGCTCACTGGCTGAGCGAGGTGTGGGCGCAACACCGAGGGTTGCGATCCCGTTGCCGGTCCCGGTCCGGTACGGGGTCGACACTGAGGGTTGCGATCCATTGCCGGACATGGAAAAAAACAAAAAAAAAAAAAGGAAGACAAAAAACTACACGAATGACCTTTAATCAGAATGATGTTTTTTGTGTTTGTCTTTCCAACTAGATGCTAAGAGGATTCTTAGAGGCAGAGATGGTTTGCTATATAGCTTTTTATACTTGGCACTTTGCCTACTGTCATACAGAGTTTAGGTTACTTATAATTTGTCAGGGCTCTTCATTGCAAGTTAAAGAAACCCAACTCACATACTAACTCAAGTAATGAAGAATGTCCAGGGATGGTTCTGGCTGAATATTTAGTCACAGCTAGATCAGGTTCCCAAATTTATCAAGGATCTGTCCTTCTGTGTTTATCGTCTCTGCTTTCCTCCGTCTTGGCTTCATTTTCAGGTAAGAGCACCCTCTGGGAGTAAAGAGAGTGCCTTCTTTCCTCAACAGTTAGAGAAAGTCCTCGGGCTGATGCTCACCAGCTTTTTTAGACTCTCATGGGTCATGGGCTCACCCCAGACTGATCAGTGTTGTCAGAGGGAAGAGGTTGGGTCTTTGGCTGGGCCTGAGTTACATGGTCTTATCTGGAGGCAGAGAATGGGATCAGTTTCCTTCTCACTCCTCTAACGTATGCACTGGATTGGAGGAGGGAAGGTTCTCCAAAGGAAAAAGTGGGATTTTTGTGTCAGCAGGATATGAAATGGATGCTGGACAGGCAAAGCCAAGATACCCATTGGGGAGTTCGATATGTATGCACTGGATTGGAGGAGGGAAGGTTCTCCAAAGGAAAAAGTGGGATTTTTGTGCCAGCAGGATATGAAATGGATGCTGGACAGGCAAAGCCAAGATACCCATTGGGGAGTTCGATAAATGTCTGCTGATTGATCAACTAAACATCTTTGAAGGAAAGAAGCCAGTTTGTAGATATTCTGTACCATTTTCCAACTTTATCCAAAATATTTTATGCCTTGTCTAGTGCCATGTATCCTTTAAGTGCTTCACAGTCACTGTTGGAGGTGGACATGAAGGTGATGTGACTTTGGCTCCCTACTGATGTATAACCAGGCTGAGAAGGCTGTTCCTCTCTCAAGGGAGTATTAATAACTGTGCTCACATGTTCAAACCTTTAAATGGGATCACAAAGTTATTTTGTGGAAGAGTGAACAGAAGAATTATCAAATCTCCCATTGTGGGTTGTGATGACATTGGCCAAATGGTTTCATGGTAAAACTGAGTAACATTATCTACCAATTAAACTACTTGTTGTGTGCCTTAGTTTTGGATTCCCTCACTGAAAGCTGGTTGACTTCAGGTGTCGTTATAAAGCATATACATGGTAAGATTCTAAGGTTTCCATTATTTCATACATAAGTGGCCAGGACATGTACCCTAAATAGGTCAACAGGGTCTTTGCCTATTTTTTTGCACTAAAAACTAAGATTGGAGATTTTGAAGTACAAAAACTTAAGTCATGTGTTGGGAAATGTGCCTACAAACCAGCCAGTGAAGATCTTCATAAGCATTGCAGACAGTCAACAAAGAATATTAGGAAGATTAATTTCCATGGGAAGTAGATGCTGGACAGGCAAAACCAAGACGTCCATTGGGAAGTTCAGTAGATGTTTGCTGATGTATCAGTTTCACATCCCTGTAGGATAAAAGTCAGGTTTGTATAAATTATATACCATTTTTAAACTTTGTCCCAAACACTTTATTGTTAGACTATATAATATGTTTGAATAAAAGCACATATAATCGTTTATCATTTGGATTTTGTTTCCTGTAAGTATGCCTTTCTTAGTTAAGTTTGTTTATTTGTGTATGGGAAAAGAGCAAATCAAGCGTAAATAGAGTGCCCTTTAGAAATCAATGTTCTGAAACCTCTGAGGAAAGTGAATATTTATTTTAATCAAAAATATTTATTGAGCACTGCTTTAATTTTATTTTTAATCTTCACTTTTTAGAACTGGCTGGTCAGCAGAAATCTAGAGCTGGTACCTCTCCGAACATTAATTTGTTCTTACAAATGTTTTAATCGGCGTGGCCCTAACGTCTTTGGAATTGCTGAAGTGTAGCACCGTTGAGATGCTGGTTCAGAGCCTCACTCAACTTGCCCTGGGAGCTCTGCACACACAGTCACATTATGCCCTGCTTACGATCCCATGCTGTGTCTGTTCTCTTTGTCAACACATTAAGCAAAGGAAAAAAATTTAATTATAAAGATCCCAATTTAAGTACTACAGTCTGCCTTTAGATTGTTTAGATGCTAGGTGTATTTTTTCTTTGGCTTAAAAACAAAATAAAAAATGGAAAAATAAAGGTCTGTGTGAAAATGAGTATGCTTTATTACCATCATTTTATGACCACGACCCTCCTTTCCTAGATAGGTATCAAGAGACTTTGATGGGGAAAAGTATTTATTTTATAAATGCCTTGCAATTGGCAAGAATCATTTTTTAATGCTAGATAGTTGTAATACATTTGTGTGTTTTCATTTGAGGCACTGACTCCTATTGACTAAGATAAAAACTTCATTCCACTTAAAAATGAGTAGAAGGCTGTAAATCCAGATTTAGTAACTCCTAACATCACTGTTACTTTTTAAATATTTCCAAGTATATACATATTTAACGAAGTGCTGTTATTTTCTCACAAGAGAAAATGACAGAAGCCGGGGCAGTAGTGCTGAAATGAGAACTTGGTGCATCTTCTGTCAAGGACACCAAAAAACTAGGAAAAGAAGTTATGAAAATATATGAGAAACTTTGGATAGACCAGTGGTTCTTCAAAGTGTGGTCTGTCCAGCACCATTCCCATCTTTTGAGAATTTATTATAAATGTAGATTATGTGACCCACCCCATAACTTCTGAATCAGATACTCTGGGAGTGTGGCCCAGAAATCTCTGTTTTAACAAACCCTCCAGGTGATTTCTGTGCATGTTCAGTTTGAGAACCACAAGGATAGACTAAGATAAAGTTGCTGTGTTTTCAGAGAAGCCAAAAAATTAACCATAATTTTATATTTAAATCTCACTAGAAATATATTTCTTCATGTAATCATTTGGTGACCCCTCTGTTGGAAAGCAAAGTGGAGTCTTATCTTTCTTATGTTCATTAGCAGGTTACCTTCCCAGCCAAGCCTTTTATGAGTTCAATTCACGACATATTTCTTTATGCATCAGAGTGCCTCTGGCTTAACCAGGAAGCTAAATCAATGGAGCACAGCAGAGAGTGCTCAGTTCCAAAGAACAAGGTTCAGGCCTCACTGAGACAGAAATGGGGCCTCAAGGTAACTTTCTAAAAGCTCCATTAACCAAGAATGCATTTTAAACAAAAATAAAAAACAAAGTGCAAATGAAAGGCATAGGAACTCATTAAAAATGAGTTACAGGAATAAACTATGTCTGTTCAAGGGGAAACTACTCAGGAAATTGACTTTGATTAGGGAAATATTTTTACACAATCAATGCTGTGGGAAAAAGTGTATTTTTTTTAGCATTTTAATCCCATGACCTCAGCCACAATTTATGTACAATTTGTGTTTATTCCTGAGAAGAAAATTCAATCTATTTATCCATCTGTGTATTCATTTATTCAACAAATAAGTCAGATGGTTTCTTGAAGTTCAAGGTTACACGGGAGAACATCTTGACTGTCTACTTTCACCTTTTCTACCACTGTCCTCTTCCTATGTCAAGATATTACAACCTGGTTTCTGCCCCACCATTCCAGGACACCTGGTCTTTCAGAGATCGTCAGTGACTTCCTCCCATTCAAGGTTACACGGGAGAACATCTTGACTGTCTACTTTCACCTTTTCTACCACTGTCCTCTTCCTATGTCAAGATATTACAACCAGGTTTCTGCCCCACCATTCCAGGACACCTGGTCTTTCAGAGATCGTCAGTGACTTCCTCCCNGGTTTCTGCCCCACCATTCCAGGACACCTGGTCTTTCAGAGATCGTCAGTGACTTCCTCCCAGTCTGGGAGTGACTCCTCGTCTGGCTGGCACTGCCTGCAGGTTTGGTCTCCATTGATCACCTAGTCTTGGAACTATATGCCTTAGGTTCATTCCTCTTCCCCATCCCTTAATTGAATTCTCTTCTATATCTGTCTCTTAAAAATAAGTATTCCGTGAGATTCCCTCTATTCAGTCCAATCTTTTCTCTTAGCACTTTTTCTTTGCTGAGTGTATTCGTCCACTCCTACTAGTTTCGTTTAGCTTCATCTGTCAAACCCAGGTGGGCAGCTCCTAAATCTCTCTCTCCATTTTTAACCCATGTTACCAAGCTCTGCAAGTTCAACATGTCTAAAGTAGAACAGAATCTCTCTTTCAAATTGTTCTTTTCTCATTTATTCGTTTATTAGACAAATATTTACTTAGAGGCTACTATCTACCAGGCACTGTCCTTTGTGCTAAGGATTTAACAGTGGACAAGACTGATGGGGCCCCTGCTCTCACAAAGCTTATTTCTGATGGAGGGAGGCAAAGAATAAACAATAGACAAATAATATGGTGCTAAATACTTGGAAGAGAAGTAAAACAGGATTCAGGAGATAGAGGATGGTGAAGGGAATACTTTTTATATGGGGTGGTCTGGGTCTGATAAGGTAGTATTTGACCAGAGATCTGAAGCAAGTGAGGGAGTGAGCCCCACGGATGTAATGAGTAGGAACCAGTTGATGATTCTGACGTTAGGAAATTTAGTATTGCTAGATGTATGGTCACGTATTGCATGTCACCATGGGCACCAGACTGGGCAAAGATGCATCTGTCTGTGCTTTGTGGTACCCCCTGACCTGAATCACTGGTTAATTAAATCAAGAGCTTAATGACTCTTACTCTACATATATGTAGGTATTTACGTGCATGTGAGTATGTGAGATCCTCTTGCCAGTCTGTAGTTTATTTGTAACACTACTTTGAGATCTGAAACACTCAAAAATATTTTTGTTTTCTAACCACTATGGCAAACCTTTATTTATTCAGGTGAAGTAGAAGCAACTGGAGCATTTACCTTTTATGAATTGTCTGCATTCAATTTTTCTCTTTTTGTGTCTCTTCCATGGGTGCTTTCTGGAATCTTAATTTTTCATTCACATTTGCTTCAGAAGGAGAATAAAAAAGAGAAACTTAAGTCTCTTTTAATATTTGTCATAAATTCATCATCTGTGTTGTGGGGAAGTAATTTAAAATAAAAGAACATATATTATTTTAGGATCATTACTGAATTCTATATATGTCCCCAGTCATTACGAAAAATTTAAGTGTGGTCTCTAATCCTTTATATTTGTGTATCTTTTTTGTAGACACAATTGAAGATGGATTTTCCCCATTTAATTACTCAATATTTCTTTTTTTTTTTTTTC